TCCTTTTTTGCCATGGGGCGGGTTATTTCCCGGGGTTTGCGGGATCAAAACAGGGGGTTTCCGGGGGGGGGGGGGGGGGGGCGGTGTACTCAATAGTCGTGCATGCCGTAGTCGTTAAACCATTGACCTCGCATCCCTACAAAGCCGGGACGGAGCACGCCGCGTTCTCACCGGACCAGGCTCTCACATCACCAAGCACGAAGCGCCGTGAGGTGATCGGCGAGTCGCATGAAGGGTGCGCTTCATCCTGCTAAGGGTGTTCGGCATCTTGTGCTTACTTCCTTGCGTACGGATGACAGCTGCGTATGACTTAATTTATTTTCTGGTGCTTTCACTTCCAGAGACAGTTATAAGCACTGTGTAACTGCCTCGAGGATGCTTTACCATTTTAACACAACGTGGTGCGATCATCCCCCTTGCGCGGAGTGAGGGTTCTCGACCCCGCACAAGATAATCTACTCGACCATCACTCATGGTTACCGCAAAAAAAAAAGCAGAGGTGAAAAAAAAAAAACGGTAACCTGGTTGCCGAGTTCACGAAGTGAATTGGCTTGTTTTACAACGTCGTTGCCAAGCGACGAAAACCCAATCCCGGTGGCAAACACCGAGGGAGGGGCTTATTTTACAACGTCGTTGCCAAGCGACGAAAGCCCATCCCCGATGGCAAACACCGGGGGGAGAGAGCTCCCGGGGCGGGGGGGGGGGAGTACTCATGTTTTGCGTGCCTTAGTTCTTAGACCATTGACCACGCGTCCTCGAGAGGTAGAGCCGATGACCGCTGGCAGTATCGTCCTTTCCCACCTTGGCAAAGGTGACTCAAGAATGTTGTCCTCCCTATCTTTCCTATCGTACCACTTCCCGCCAGTTCAGCGTTGTTATTGCGCGGCAGCGATGGCATGCATAGTACTTCGAGGGGCGATACAACGTCTCTCGGAGGGGCGGCGTTTTGTAACTTTTACTCCTATTAATATCGCTGCTTTTGTCCCGTGTTTCCAGTTCGCGTATCCCCTCCCGATGTCATGTTGTCGCTAGCTTGCATCGTTCGTTAGGTTTGCGTTCGACCGCCCTCTGTAAGTTCACTGTCCAATCCCTTGGGGCGTAAGATGCTGCTGCTGTGTTGTGAGAGCGAACCCGTAGTGTCAACGCAACAGAATCGCTTTGCGCGGAACCTTCGATTGGGGAACCTTACTTTGCGTTGTTTGATGGCGTGCGATAGAACAACGGAACCTTGGGCGGAGAGCAGCATTGTCAACTAAGTATGGGGGTCTATGGGTGGCACTTGTTGTAGTGGCACGGTCACTGCTAGTCTTTTTGATATGAGATGAATGAAGCATTGCACCGTCTTCGTATATCGCGTACCATACGCCATTGGCGCACCTACGGCAATGTAAAAAGGCAGAATCATTGCAGCATTGCGATCCGCTCGGACACAAACCCTGAACACAGGACGACAAGACACGGCACAATTCACCACAGCGCAATTCCTGGCGCCCACTGCTGAACACACGGCTCATGTGATGGCACGAAGAGCTAACGCACAGAAGCAGCCACCGGCTGCACATACGTTGGCACCGCCATTAATGAAAAGTATACTTGGATGTCGGCAGCTCAAATGGCGCTGTGACAGGGGGACATGCCCGAAATCCCCAGAATTCAGTTTTGGGTAGACCCCATGGGCGGCGGTGCCAGGCAGTGGCAACGCGGTCTTCTGTAAGTATTTCAGGGGCACCGTGAATGCGTGATGAACAGAATGAGGGGCTCCGTGGGTGGGTGGTGTGGCACTGCTGTCGAGAGAGGTGGGGAGGTGGTTCATCGCTCGGGGCCGGGGAATGGCAAGAAATGCCGAGGACGTATTACGTACGGTGTAGCTGGAATATCAGGAATTTTCGGAGAGGAGTGTGTTGGGACATGCACATTCCACAGGACGACGACCAGGGCCAAAGTGCTTTGATAACGCCGGGGTGGAAGTTAACCCGGATAATACCTGCGGTCGGCCTTCGTGCTACCGCTGCTGCTGCTGCTGCTGAGCCGCCTAACGTGTTGTCGAAATGTTTTCCCAAAATTACGTGTAACACCAGGTGGAGCGGAAGACCCTGACGGCGGTGTTGATGCAGCGGTGCGACGAGGACGAGGCGGAAGGTGGGTGGCGAGTGGCGGGGTTCGGGGACACGGCGGAGGAGGACTACCTGACGGCTAAGGCGGACGAGGCCGATGAGGACAGAGGCAGCCTCGTCCTCTTCAAGTTCTTCAAGATGGAACTCTACCAAGGAGGGCGGTAAGTTTAAGTGTCAAGAGTTATCGCTACGTGTCAAGAGTTATCGCCAGACAGCCCTGTAGGGTAAGTGTCAAGAGTTATGGCCAGGCAGCACTGCTGTAGGGTAAGTGTCAAGAGTTATCGCCAGGCAGCACTTCTGTAGGGTAGAAGTGTCAAGAGTTATCGCCAGGCAGAACTGCTGTAGGGTCTCTTGGGACCGCCTCAGCGAGAAATTCATTTAGCTTGTAACGAAATAGAACAGGGAGGGGGTACGCAGACCCTATTCCCTTACCCTAACCAACCCCCCCCGGTTTGCATGCTTCATCCAACATGTTAACTTAAGTAGAGAATCCCTGGGAAGCGTGCTAGTCTCTCGCTCGCAGCTCTCGCCAGACAACAGTTTGATGCCTCAGTGTAACCTTTGGCTTTCCCCGGTGGTAACGTTTTACTTGGGGACACAATCCTTTACCTTGTTTAGCCTTCCGATGTGTGGACATGCTATCGAGTCTCGGCGAGGTCGCGAACTTTTTTTTTGTTTGGTCCTCCCTTACATCATGGTCAAAGCAAGGTAGAAGGTAAGGTTCAGATCAATTCAACGTCACATTCGGCGAGGGAAAAGGGACGGCTGAATACTACTCGCGATGAAAATTGAAAATGAGTGCAAGACCCGCAGGAGGAAGACGAAAAATACCGAAAAATTAGAAAATACTGTACTCGGTTGTGTGCGACCCGGGCTGGGTGCGTCCATGTACGTATCTAGAGGCGTGAGACTGACGTAAGGCGTTAGAATAGAGTGGGAGGGCGGGCGATAACGCACGGGATGCGCATGTACCGGAAACCTCTCGATTTGATTGGGGGCTTCCATCGCCGCTATTTTCGGCATCGCCACCCTTTCTGCTGTGGAGAGGTGGAGCTTTCAAATCTCTCCACGGGGGAGGTGATATCTTATGTATTGTCACCTCTGGCACGCCACTATTTAGCTCTATGCTCTAAGCGAGGTGGTTCTGTTCCCGAGAAAGTACGACTGAACAAGGTGCTGACACGTGTCTTGCCGTGCCGTGTATACATACGTATGTGCTTGGCTTATTTTTTTGTGGGTGTTGTTGTCGATGTCCCTCCCACTTGCAGGGAACAACGGGCGCGCATGGACGTTGACGAGCCAACGGCGAAGGCTGTCGGGGGAGAGGTTCTGCCGATGATCTTCGTGGTCAGCAAGGCGATTGAGTACATCAAGAACCAGATCCTCGACAGGGTGGTAAGTTTTCGCGATGCCTTCCGACTGGTCTTGTATGTCTGTTGTGCGTTTTCCGGTGCTCTTGCGTTTGTTTTCAATTTGTCAACATCAAGAATATTTTGTCTTCAACCCCTTTCCGTTATCCTTATCCTTCATCTTTACCTTACTATTGGCGCGTGTACCAAGGGCTGTCCCTGTCCGTTGTCGATTTTTATTTCGTGTCGGGGTTTGCTACCTCCCAATGCTGCTAGGGTCGTTTGCGACAGCGTGCTTGTTGGTTGTGGGGTTTTCTTGCCATTTCATTTCAATCTTGTGTGAGAGTGAGAAGCGCCAAAAATCAGTCCAACAAAGACTCTTGTTGGGTATAGTTGACGATGACATGATTCGACCCAACCTGATTGTGTTACTATAATAGGGTAGTGGCTCCGATGTAAGATACGAGGGTGGTGTGACAAAGGCCCTTGACCCTCTTGATGTCGGAGCCCCCTCGTATACCGGAATGAAGGTACCCTACATACTGTTGCGGGTCGCGTCCGTTCAGACCTTACCCTGTTGTGTCGGAGCCCCCTCTTTCAAGCTACCCTTTTGTGTCGGAGCCACGGGTGTTGTGCTGTTGGGTGTGTCATGTGGTGTTTCGATGTTGTGTGGTGGCTTTGGCCGCCGACCCCACCCTTCACTTTACCTCCGAACATTTGATGCGATATTCAACGCCCCGTCTACCCCCTCCCCACCGTCCCGTCCCATATTCCCGCCGTCCCGTCCCACTTTTTCACCGAGCAGTCGATGATCGCGCAGGAAGACGACGCTCGGCTGATGTGGGTGGTGACGGTGCCGGCCATCTGGTCCAACTTCGGGAAGCGGTTCATGCGAGCGGCGTCGCACCGGGCGGGTCTCATCGCCGACGAGAACGACATGCAGGGGCTCAAGCTGTGCCTGGAGCCGGAGGCGGCCTGCTTGGCAGTTGAGAGCTCCAACCAGGGGGTGGGGTCGTGGCACCCGGGGGACAAGGTAGGCGGGGTTACGTGGTATCATTGTGATGGTAGGGTGTGGTGGTGCAAAGAGGGGGTGGGGTCGTTGCACCCGGGGGGCACCGTAGGCTGGGGGTTACGTTGGGAACATTTTTCCATGGTGGTGATGGTGGGATGTGGCGGTCGAGAGGTGGAACCAGGGGGTGGGGTCGTTGCACCCGGGGGATACGTGGTATCATTGGTGGTGGCTGTGCTGCTGACGTCGAAGCTCGGTTGTGTTTTAGTCGGAGAGCAGGCCCGCTTCTCGTGGTAAGTTTTGTCAGTGGGTTGGTGGTGAGGCGTTGACCACGTCTGACGTTGAAGCACGAGTTATGTCTTGACTGTTTTTCCTCGTCTATGTAGTTTGTTCCGATGTGTAAAGGCGGCGGAATAGATGCATGGTGCTCGCCTCTGCTGTTGCTCCTCGTCTGTTTTTTTGCGGTACACGCGGTGGAATATACGTCATCATGGTGCTTGCGTCTCCTGTTGTTCCTCGGCTAAGTGTTTGCGATGTGTAAACGCGGTGGAGTATTGTAGATAATGGTGCCCACCGTTGCTGTTGCCTCTCATTGAATTTCTTGCGCTGTGTACATATAACGCAACGGAATAGTTGAATGCTGTTATGCATTCTCCTCGTCTGTTTTTTTGCGACATACGCGGTGGAATATAAAAGACAACGGTGCTCACGACTGCTGTTGCTCCTCGTCTGTTTTCTTGCGATGCGTGCTGTAAAACTCGGCGGACTAGATAATGGTGCTGGATTGCGGCGGCGGGACTATCGATATCACGTCGCATCTGGTGGAGAGCTCGGACCCGCTTCAGCTTAGCGAGCTGGCAGAGCCTTGCGGTGGCGCTTGGGGGAGCTCCATCGTAGACACGCGTTTCAAGGCGTTCCTTCAGGCACGTGCAGCAGCCAACGTGGTGTTTTGTCTTTTGTAGGCCTGTTCTCCCTAGATAATGGGCGAAACGGACCGAATTTGGGAAAAACGTGACCGAAAAAACTGAGGGATTTGAATATAACCGAAAACGGGAGGCCCCTAGCCGATATTGCCGGACGCGCGCCCGTCATCACCGTTTTTTTTTTTAAGTTTTCTGTTTTAGGGGGCTCCGTGGATACAGGTCTTACCCCGAAGCGCTATCAGAGAACGTCTATTCCGGTTGTGTATTGTATGTAGTCGACCCTTGTTGATTCTTTCTTGGCGCCTGAGGCAGTCCTCGAGTGGTCCGTGTTCTGTTGTCGATTTCACGGAATTCCGGACGCATGTACCGAAGAGATTTTTTCAGCTTTACCTCGACAAGTTGAGCCTTTTTGGTCGGCTGACCTTTTACAGGTGAAGCGAAACCGCTTTTTAGGCCTGCTGGCAACGTTCGACCGCTGCTACTGCTTGAATCGGATTTGATGTGTGAATCGACAAAGCGTATCACGATAACGATAATACTCTCAACCGTTTCCAATGATTGTAGCAACGTTGCAGGAGTTCTTTGACAAGCTAACAATCTCAACCTGTTGCCAATGATTGTTGCCATGTTGCAGGAGTTCTTCGACAAGCTAACATCTCAACCTGTCGCCAATGATTGTTGCCATGTTGCAGGAGTTCTTCGACAATGCTTCAGGAGGGATGACGCGGTTGGAGGGCACACACGAGCTGTTTGCTGTCACAGTGGAGTGGGAACGGCAAAAGGTCCAGCACCCTTGACCTTTTACAGTACCCAATCCTGAAATGCTCAACCTCGCACTTACAGTAGTTTTAACACTCGAATCCTATGTCGGAGGTAGTGGTGTGAAGACTATGTCGTCGACATACGGTAAAATGTACCGCCTGAACAAATTCGCACAAATTCGCCGACAAGCTAAAGTGATAAGGGTCGAAATGTGGTGACGTACGAATTTAAGGGCGTTCCATATGGCGGCATTTTTTTTTTTATCGATTCTTGGATTGTTTTTTTTTTTGGCGTTTAGTCTCAGACACGATTTGCCAAGAGCCGTTATGCGGCATATCAATCGGTGCTGACATGGCGGTGTTTTTGTTTTTCTTGGGGTTTCGTCCCAGACACGCTTGGCGAGGGGAGCATCTTTGCGCGTTAGCATCGGGGACATCGCTGACCTGCTAGAGTTGTCGCCCCGCGAGATCGAAGAGCTGAGGAAATTTCACAACGACCCCAAGCCGAAGGAGGTATGTTTACATATGCAATACGTCGTTTCCCGTACACGTTCGTTTGCAGTGCCGTTGTGCTATGATAACCGTCACTTTCCAGTGCGTTCGGCCACGGTAACGTTACCGCACACGGTTTCGGTCACGGTTCTTCTACGGTTAATTTGTGTTAACGCTTCACAAGCCAGTGTGTGCGGCCGCGGTGCGGTTGCTGTACGACCTCGGGTATGAAGCTGTTTTTTTCTTCATTAGGAGTGCGTCATCCTTCCCGACGCACGCATATACTATACTATACTAAACTATACTATAATATACTATACCAAACTATACTATACTATACTGTAGACCGTGTGGTTTGCTTTCTGCTGAAGGTTTGGCTATCAAGCCGCGTCGTTCGATCACTTTCGCCTTCGCGTTGCCTGCTCTAAAAGAGCTCATACGATAGTCGCGCTCCGTCGCTGATGCCGTTTGTTCTACTCTGTCGCTGATGCCGGTTCTCGCGCTCTGTCGCCGATGCCGTTACTCTTCCTCTCTCCCGGTGATGTGATGTGACGTGATGTGATGCGAATGGCAGCTGCACGTTGGGGGGACTCGAAGGAACCTCGTGCTTCCACCCGCACTCGTAGAGAGCTTCTTCCGGGGCGCCATCACCGCCATCAAAGACGAGGTATGCATGCAGCAGCAGCAGTAGCGGTATTTCAACTATTTCAAGAGGCACGCCATCAAGGACGAGGTATGCTTACAGCAGCAGTAGTAGTGTTTCGACTATTTCAAGAGACACAAACAAGGGCGAGGTATGCTTATTCACTATTTCAAGTATTTCAAGAAAGACGCCATCAAGGACGAGGTATGCTTACAGCAGCAGTAGTAGTGTTTCGACTATTTCAAGAGACACAAACAAGGGCGAGGTATGCTTATTCACTATTTCAAGTATTTCAAGAAAGACGCCAGCACCGCCATCAAGGACGAGGTATCACACAGCAGAGTATATTTAGAAAGTATACACAAATCTCACAGAAAGACTACCCGGTCGGTATATTACCACGGCAGTCGAAAGAGATGCGTTGAAGTCCTTACAGCGAGTGAGAAGAAAACCGGCTGGATACTGGGCTGGGTTATTTAGGATCTATTTATGGTAGCAGTAGCAGTATTTCAACAACTATTTCAACAGACACGTGACGCCGGATTGTCTGCAAGTGAATGAAAGTTTCAGTGGTGCTCGGTGTCAGACAAGTTTTTGAAGAGAAAGTACCGATCAGTTTTCAAGAGAATGAAAGGCGCTCGTCCCGGCTACGGGAAATACGTGTAGCGTGGGGTAGAAAGAAGACCGGATTTACGAGGAGTGTTGTTGATTTGCACCGCTGTTGGCCGTACCTAATCGGGTCGATGGCTTTAGAGTAGACTGGCTGTTGGTTTCGGGCTTGTCTTACTATTTTTCCTCTTGCCAAAAGTTTGATGCGGCCGTACGCAAAGATTGTCTTCGCCACCTTCACCCTGAACCCTTACCTGTAATGCTACCCCGATCCCTAATTGGAGAAGCAACCCTTACCTGTAATGCTACCTCGATCCCTAATTGGAGAAGCAGAACGTGTTGATCACGGCACCGTAGCCTACGGAGAGTGTTGTGAAGTGAGTCCGGAACACGGCATCAGGCGATACACGCGCGAACACACGACTTGGACCTGACATGACTGGGAAAGTGTGACCTACCCAAACTAGTCGTCCGGATTGTAGTTCTAGCCATTTATTTCCTAACACCCTACCGTACCAACGAACTTATAACAGGTGGGAACGCAGCTGTCCACACCGGACCTCCATGACCTGTGCTACATCTACATGGTGGGAGGGTTCTGCGCCAGTCCCCTGTTGCAAGACGCCATTCGCGAGGAGTTCGACGACCCCGGGAGGGATCTCAAGGTCGTGGTGGCGCCAAGGCCAGGCCTCGCGGTGGTGAGCACACACATGCACATGCATACGTAGGAGCATCCCTCCGGAGTGGCTCAGGAGATCACAGCACGATGGTGTGATCGTATCGTAGAGAGGAAAGTAAGGTATACCAGTACTGATATCCATCTCTTTGTGACTTGTCTCTCTGGGGACTAGATTTTTATTTTTTCGAATTGAGCACCCGTTTTGTGGGTAGTTGGCCTGTGACCACGGAAGCACGGAAGGGTTGGACCGGTGTTTCGGGTGTTGAAGAGTGCTGAGCGGAGACCGGAGTGTTTTTTTTTTTGTGAGAAGACAATAGCAACTCATCCTGGACATGATGTCGAGACAGAAGCGGCGCGTATCGTGGACCACTGTCGAAATAGACCCTCATGAAGAGCAAGAGCAACCCACACGCTACATGGTACCACGTCGTGTACCGTATCATACAACAACAAGTGAATTTCTGGTCAAAGCTTGAGTGCGAGCATGTTGTTTGTGTTGTTTGTTGTCCGGTTCCTGGCGAAAACTTGAGTTCAAACACGTTGTTAATATTTTTGTCAGCTTTCTGACGCAAAACTTTTAAGAAACTTTAAGGTCGAGCGCGTTGTTAATTGTCGGCGTTCTGGCCAAAGCCTGGTTAGAACACGTTGTTCTTATTGCTTGCTTGTATGTTGTGGTCGGCTTTCTGTCCCAACATGTGAGGTCGAGCACGTTGCTGTTGTCAGCTGTACGTCACTGACGCCCAAAGCCTGAGTTCGAGCACGTTTGTTGCATTGTCGGCTGTGCATCGCTGACCGCTCTATTCAGGTGACGGGGGCGGCTTTGTTCGGCGCAAGGGGAACGGGGGCGTTTGTATCGCGAAAGGCGCGCCTGACTTACGGAGTGAGGGGATCGAGGCGGTTTGACCACAACGACCCGGAGCACGTGTGCCGCGAAGAGGTACGCTTGTTGTCTAGTGGCATGTTCTCTTTATTTGTTTCTGTGCTTTTAGCTCTTCGCTGCTGCTATTTGTTTATTGTTCGCCGTAGGTGTGAAGTTGTGCGTCGTCTTGTGTTCGTTCTGTAAACAGTGTAGAGGTCCCTGTTTAGTGCCCAGAAAATTACCGGCACTACACCACTGGACCAATTTTCGAAGCTCGGTTTCTCGGCAAGAAGGGCAGTAAAGGTGCCGAGAATGGCGGCGCTGAAACCGTCTCGTCGAGATCTTTCCGAAAACGCATCCTTCTGGTGTCGGCATCCTCGTCCTCGTGGGGTATCCGAGCTTTGAAAATCGGTCCAGGGGGTGTGATATGTTACGCATCCTACGGTATTCAAAGTTTTGAGGAAGGCTTGGAAATTCATCCAGTGTGGTCGCCGAAACACCGGCACCATTCAACCGGCACTAAACAGGGGCCTCTACTGCTGTACATGATGTGGTTCGTCCGCTCCATCGGTTTATTCTATTACAGTGCATGTACATATGTTGTGTGATTTCGTACGCTCGCTTGTTTTTTTTTATCTGGACAAGTGTTCTCTGTCCTTGTTGGCCTGCTTTTCCCTGTTTCCGTCTGTCTCTAATACGTGATGTAGTTTCGTACGTTCCGTGCTTTGTTTCAACACTTGCATGTTATGGTTTTCTCCGTTCCCGTTGCTTTTTCTATTACAGCATGATGTGTGGTTTCGTCCGTTGATTGTATATATCGTTCTTTTCATTCAGCAAGCGGTGGTGCTAGGGGACGGCAGTCGAGTGCTGCACTACTTCCGGCCGGTGGTGGAGAAAGGAGGCGATGTGCCGGTTGGGCACGTCGTCGAGAAGCCCCTTGTGCCCATGCACGAAGCGCAGGTATTTTTACAACGATTGTGCGTAGCAGTAGCCTTTGCAGGGTTGTTCTCTTTAGTAAGCATGCTGGATAAATCATGCAACCGGGTAAGTTGGGTTAAGGTTAGGGTTTGCGTCCCCCCCCCCCCTGTTCCATTTCCTCGTTACGTTATTTTCTCGCAAGGCGATGATTGCCTTGCGCCAAGGAGCATCCCCCCTGCCTTGGTGTTAGTGCCTTCCGTGGCTATGCGCTGAATGTCCTCACGCACGCCATCTGGTCTACCTCTCTACTCTGTCGGCGTTGTTGCCTACATGTGGACAACGATCCTCTCATTTTGTATGTCGTGAACGGTAGTCTTGGCTTTGTGGTCAGAGAGGTTTAAACGCCTGGAACAAGGAAGAGCATTATCGTCACGCGGATAAATGTGCGTACCAGCTGTCTTACGTGTTTTCGTCTGCGTGTTTTTAATTGTTTACTTCGCAGTATTTATTGAACTTGGAGTTTTGGTTTTGGTTAAGGGCAACGAGCCTTGCTCGCCGCTCCAGTAGTTGGCATGGTGCTTTGTTTTGCTGTCGCTATGTGTAGCCCTGATCACGGCAGTGTTTTTTTTTCTCGTGTTTGCTTTGTCTACTTGTATTAGCTTTAGCAACCCTACCCACCGCTGTGTGACCTTTCCTCGTGTCTGGTTTTGGGCCACCTGTCAGGTGTTCGTGGGTCTACACTTGCTCGTCACGCGCCAAGAGGCGGTGTTGTACCTTAAGGATGTCGGGGTGCTGGTGCAAGAAATCGCCTCGGTCAGGGTGAGTCAAGTCCAGCCTGTCGTTTAACTTTCTCTGCTTTTGCTTTGGGGTTTTGTCGACCCTGCTCTGTTTGTTTCTTGTGTTACAAGGAACACTACAAAGTCATGTCCCTCTTCCACAGCTGAGAGCCCATACTGTAGTACAGTAGTGTTGTACTTACGGTGACCAACTTATTTGTTTTGCGTTTTTTTTTTCGTTCTTTTCGTCTGCAGACTGCTGGTATTTGTTTGCCCATGCCTTTGCGATGATCCCATCTCACTGTAAGCAATTATTGAGTAGGGTTTTATGTAAAAGCGCTCATTATGTCAAGTTTTTGGTGCTCTCACATACAATGTTTTGTTTTTTTCTTCACGTCTGTCTCCGATCACAAAGAACGAGTGCACCGATGCCCTCCTGTTTAGACGCTGTTACACCTCCAGATAAATAGTTAGTTGTATTTGCTTTTGTTTGGGCAGAAAAACAAATCGCGCCTTGGAGGAATTTTTTCTGGTATCCATTTTTTTTCTTTAGAAGTACCCCCTTTGGGGCACCCTTTGGGGGGGGCAGTTGGCTTGTGACCACGGAAAGCGTCTGCGTCAGTTGTACCAGTACTATACTATACGGACATTAGGAGGTACTGAGTGGAGACCGGAACGGTTTTTAGTGTGAAGACAAAACACAACGCAGCAGATAGCCAACCCCCGTCTGGGTAGATTGACGCGAGGATGGTTATGATCGTGCTGGTGGTTTCAGTCAAACAAAACTCGAATAGGTATGTTGTGCCGGTCCTCGATGGTGCTATATGTAAGTTGGCCTTGAAACTTTAAACCGCACCGATTTCTGTTCAGTACCTTCCAGCATCCGGAAGGGTCCTAGTTATGCGGGCCCTCTTGTAGTCGCAATCCACCATTTAATTACTATCTACCCAACAGCTGTCTACCCAACAGCGATCGTGGTACCATATGTCGAACATTCGCATTGAGATGGTTTTTGCCCGTATTGTCCTGTCTCCTCTCTCACCCATCCCGGCCTGTTCGCACACATGCCTGTATGCCGGTTATAGTTTGGGATGGACGATGGATGGGTTCGACCTTTCGAATTGTGTGTCGTGCATCCGTCGTTGACAGCACGGTATCTGTCGAAGACTGATGGGAAATTACCGTGTTCCTTATGTCCCATTTCGCTGCTGATGGGACTCTGCGGTGTTCCACCTAGCTGTCGCGGGCTAGAGTCCTTTGTTGCTCCTGGCGGGAAATTACCTGGTCCATCTGTCGCCCCTCTCCGCTCATTTTTTTTTTCCGTGTTCCACTTGTCTCTAACGCTGATGGAATTACCGCGTGCCGTCTCCGCCCCTGCTTTTCCGCGCAGGTACCGGTGGACCATGCGGTGCCATTGCGCGAGCGCGGGGTGGAGGTGAGGATGGAGTTTGGAGGCACCGAGATTGCGGTGTCGTGCTACAAGCAGCACGACGGGGACAAGCTGCTCGATGCCAAGGTACGTACAGCTGACCCAACCCTATCCCACTGCGCGGTGTGTATTGCAGACCAGACGCTTGTTGGCCGACACCAGCAGCGGCTTTCATGTGAAGGAGAGGCCGGTCGAAGCACGACAGCACGGTGTCCGAGTGTTGTAGTACATAATAGTTCGTTGAGCCAACGCACGGGTCACATCCGGTCGTAATTAACATTTCACAACCTGCGCAGCTGAATTAACCAACCGCGATACCGACCGACCATAACGACGAAAAAACAGGTCGACTTCCTGGAGGATTTCGACCCCGGCGCGCTTGAAGGAGACGTGGATGGGGACGACCACCGCAATACCAACGGTGTCTACGATGGCGAAGACGAGCCAAACCCCAGCCCGTACTCTCGCCAGGCGTATTGAATTATTGATCTGACGTCCTTTCTTTCTCTCTCTCTCTCTCTCTCTCTCTCTCTCTCTCTCTCTATCTATCTATCTATCTATCTCTCTATCTATCTCTCTATCTCTCCATCCTTGTTTATTGGAGTGATGCCCCGGCCTTCACGCCAGCAGCCGCATTCATGGATACGATGCCCGGTTTTTTCACGCCAGTACAGCAGCAGCAGCAGCAGCAGCAGCAGTCGTGTCGTGGTAACGAGAAGAGAGACAGGGCTTTGGTCGCTGCGTCCCAATGCTTGTGAACGTCTCCCGCATTGGTTGATTGCTTTTAGTCGTTTCGATTGATGCTTGCCTTCATTGCCCGGGGAGCTGACTACGTAGTAGGCAAGTGTCTGATTCATTGTTTTTGGATGGAGTTCTCCTACAATATGCGCATGTCATGCCCTCTTGGTAATTGTCACGTTGGTTGCTGTTTTTTCCGATTTGGCGGGTGCGCCATCTGAGGAACGGGGGGGTGTTCAATAGCCGGTGTATCGTTGTTGCGGTCCGTAAGTCCTGATGGGTCGGTCAGCAGACCACATTGGTTAGGGCGCGGTTCGTCTGAAGTTAAAGTATATAGATCGATGCGGGGCTGATGTTTCTTTGTCTTTGGGGGGAGGGGGGGGTTGGCATGGTTTCATGAGGTTGACGGCTGAATTTGTCTCGAGCGTTGTCTGGTGGGCGTGTAGGTCCTCCTCTTGTTGTAGTTTCAGTTACGGTAGTAGTAGCTTGGTTTTTCCATTGGGTTTGCTGGCGAGTGGGTTGTGCGGAAGCTTCTTGTAGAGGGGAATGCAAGTTTCGATTGCGCTGTTGCCTGTAGCGTCGATGCTTTCGGTCGCCGTGACTTAGCGATTCATGGTTATGGCACAGCACCCCTAACGTGCCCATTGGCGACGGATGTGATACGTCTTCGAGAGGACGAGGGATAGCCAATACTTGCCTGGGTGCAGTTTGGCCAAGAAGCGTGCTCCATCAATCGTTATTGACGGATTGATATTGCTTTCGTTTGAGGCCGTGCCTCGTGACAGCTGTCGGTGTTGGGGGTCCCATGGTGCCATCAACGAGTATCGCAGTTTCATGTTCGCGGTAGACACCCCCCCCCCCCCGTGGTGTTTTGCGGTGCCAAGGCTGTTGGCGGTTGCAGCAGCTATACTGTTGCAGCAGTAGACCGAGGTGCGGCTGTTTCTTCCGAAACATCCAAGGCGGACCGACAGCAGTCTCGTATGTATGGACTGGCTACCTCTGTAGCATTGATTGATACTTATATTATAAAGTGATCCTATCTGCCTCTTTGTCTCGACGGAGCTATACTAGTCTTAATTAAGTGGGCAGCGCGAGCAAGCTCTGATCGCGTTCATACGAGTAGTGTAGATGTAAAGAGAGGCGCACTCAGCGTAGTGTACAGCAGTAGAATGATCGCTGGTGGGCAAAGCGTCGAACAGCCCGGCAGGGCGACTAAACCTCGTTTTCCCCCAACCATGCACTGCTATTGATGGTTATTATTGGAAATATATGTTGATGGCGTAAGCCAAGCTCAAGCGCACATGAGTCATGTGCCGGCTACTTGCCGCTAGTTTTACGCGTGTGACGCCATTATAACATCGTCGGGTGCACAATAAACAAGTCTTTTCTCCGGGGAAAGGGAGAGTGTACAGAGTCGGCAATCCGACTGCGTGTTGCCCGACGTTAATAATTGCTTATGGACTTGAAAATGTATGTTGTCTTCATCACATTGAAAACCGTTTCGTTCTCTCTACCCAGTACCTTATTCTGTCCGTACCAGTCTCAACACTTGTCGATTCCCGTGGGTCACATGCTAACTTACCCAAAAAAAGGTACAGTACGGGCCCGCACATAAGAAACATCTAATTCGGGTCGAGCCTCAATCCCTTATTTTCTTATTTTGGGTCCAAGGACCAGCTGAAGTGGTCCGTTGTCTTACAAAAGGCATTTCTTATTCCTGTGGAACGTCGCATCCTCCCAATCCTCGTTTTTCTTACTTCGTATATTTTCTCATTGGCTAAAGAATGAAGTACAACACAACAAATGGTCATCATGGCCGCTTAATAATTAACCAGAAAGAAGGCTTGGTGTGGCCACTCATTGATGTGGCGAAATAATACCTCTCTCCCTCCCCCCTACCAAAAATATTCACTGTTGTTGTTCAGCTAGCTAGGTAGCGGGGTGGCAACACGGAGGAGCAGCAGTTGAACGTTTCTTATTGGGCACGCTTCTCCAGCTACCCCTTGTTTCTTGTGTCTTGGGGGTATCGCACCATCGTGTTCCTTATCTGGGACGTTTCTTATGTTGTGGCCGAGATTGTAGGTGTGTTTCTAGCCCTTTTTTCTTATTTTTCGTCAAAATTTGAGCCTATTTTTTTCTAAAAAACAGGATTTTTCTTAATTGTTTGCGTTGGTGTGCCCGTACTGTATATACGAAAAAAAATGGACCCGAAGGGTCTCTGCAAGTCAATAGAAGTCAACGACAGAGAGTCTAGGCCACTCCGCTCGCCTCTACACGCTATGCGAGGTAACCCTAGGCAAGAAAACTAGAGAAGAAAAGGAAAAAGAAAGGCGTATACATCTAATCCGGCTCTGTAGGTCCACGGTTGGTTCCAGTTTTCTGGTTCGGAAACTGAGGGGAAAAAACCAAAAATAATACCATACTGTACTTGAGATCTCCACCGGAGATTTTTGACCGCGGCCGATTTTTCTCGGCTCGCGAAAGGTACGAGCACAAGATCGCGGCGGTGTCTTCGCCTTACCCATACTTCGAGATAATTTCCTTGGAATTTCAATCGAGGCAACACCGGTGCCAAACACAAGCATTTTGCCCACACTCAAGCATGCTGATGTTGACGTCAACACACACCAAAAACCACGTCCTGTCGTCACAGGCGCCGCGCGCCTGGAGACCAATTCCACGATATCCTGTTTTTTTCCCCGACACGTTCTCCACAACCGAGCAAGATACAGTTCCATGCTAGCCACGGTTCGATGCGCTAGGACAGAATAGGGATGCCCCGCAAGTCTCCGCAACGAACGCTGGTGGCCACAAGAGCGAGCGCGCCTACAACCAGCGTTTGGCCAAATCCGACTGCTATGTATCCCGCCGCCCGAACAAGCCCGAACCATATTTTTTCCGCATTATTATTATTTCCCGGCCTGCTCACCGATGTCCGCCAAACTTTGCGAAGTGAGGACGAATGAACGATGAACCAGTCGACACAACTCTGTGCCAAGTTTCAAAGCCATCCGATGTGCACGCCGCGTGCGACAGCACATTTTTCCTCCCAGCGGCCGACCTCCGATCGTCCGCCAACATCAGACAGACAGACTTGATCAGGCCGCAGTCAGTATCTTAACCCTTTCGTGACTGGGTTCTTTCTGGATCTTCCGCGTTTTTTTTTGTTCTGCCGGGACCGAATAGACCGATGAGTCATGAGACACACACACACGACACCCGCACTTGAACTTTTGCACGTTTGTTTGCGCACCAACAGGTTCCCACATGGGTCAACCGCACGCACCCCATGGTGCCACAAAGGTTTAGTGCCCAACAGCAGCGTAACCCTCACGTGAAGAATGTGATGAGTGACCGATAACTACACTGACTGCTGTACTGCTGTATGTAGGTGCTGTCGGAAACCGGAGGAGAGAGAGAGGAGAGGGCGCCGTATTTCTTTACCCCAAACACGATTACATGGTGATAGTCTACATGGATACAGCAGCAGCAGTAGAGATACATCGCATGCACAGCAGTTCTACCCCGCCGCCGATGCAGCACACTGGCGCAAGGCATGGCACCGCCTCCAATGCCACTTGGTTGGGTGATATATCCAGCGGAGACAAGAAGCACACACGCACGCGGTTTGTTTGTTGGATGCATGCATGCGAAACGAAATGAAAAAGCACCAGCACCAGCAGCAGCAGCCCGCCGCAGCAGCAGCAGCAAGCACGAGCCGCGCGAGAGATAAACTATGCCTTGTGGTGGCGGTTGGTTGAAGACGGACAAGGAATACACTCGAACACACACGCGCGCAGGAGAACTCGGGGAGAGGCCTCGTAAGCTTGGCCTTCAGTTCTGCAACCACATTCCGAAGGCAAGGAAGAAGGCACACAAGTCAACAGCGAGAGCATGCTTTATCGTACCAGATAAAGACAGGTTTTATCATGCCTCCTATCGTGCCTGTAGTCACGAAAACCCTCTCAAAAACGCGAAGGCACGGGGGCGGGTGTCTCTTTTTGACACTTTGTCACTCCGCCACAGCCTGCCAGCACAACAGCAGCAACAACAGCAGTACAGCAGTACCAACATCACCACCATGGACCCAGAGGACATCGCTCAGTTCTGGGAGGCCAAAGCGGCTGAGTGGGACCCAGTGAATGCTCCCCTAGTTGTGTGGGACGAGCTGGTTCTCATCGCGGACACAACACCCCAGCTCCTGCCCGAGGCGACATCTGCTGCAGCCAGGGCGGTTGGGAAGCGGTTCTGCTGCCACGGGGACAACGAGCCCCAGCCCCTCCCAGACATAAGGGACCTGGCAGCAAGGAGGACCGCAGCTCAGCAGCACCCCGGACTCTGCGGGTACCACCACTCCCGCTGGATCGGGGATGTAGATTTCTCAAAGGCAGCCGAGAGGAGCTCGGGGGGGCAGGTCACAGCGAAGCGTCTGAGGAATCAAGTAAGTATAGTACAATTGATATTTGGCAACCCCACAAATGATGGGCTGCTGACCCAGATCGGTTGTGCACCTGCTGTGCGCGTTGCACCTCGTGTATTATAGGTGTGCTTCACGTTCAGCTTTGTTTGACATGGTGGCTTGTAAGAGTGCTACAACAGTACACTAGGCCCACAAACTTCAACCTGGACTAACGTGCGTGTGTTTTTCGAGCCTGCGGATCAATGCAGCTGCCAGACAGATCATATCACCACACGAAGTAGACAGGAAAGAGGGATGAGAGACCTGAAAGACGCGTTTACAGCAACCCTATCCCTATGAACCTCCGCAATGCTCAGCAAATGCTCTGGAAAGACAAGCGGCGCCCAGCGCGTCGACTCCCCTTTTGAGACAGATATGGTGTTATCTTCCGTATCAGTTAGGTTGGAGACTCTCCCATTTCGTACGAATAGGCTGGCAGCCCGCAGCTTTGTACTCCCCGCATTAGACAGCAGTAGGGGTAACGATGTACTGGGGAGGCCGAGCATAATTTTCTGTCTTGTCCGAAGTTAGGTTTTGTAATCCGAACGGGCGGTTAGTAGTCCGAACGGAGAAAAAGACGCACGCGCCGCCCCATTGCGTGAACGTCTGTCTCTCACAGATACTGCATGCCACGTAACGTTTGTTGGCTCTCCATTTTCCCACGAAAGACTGGAGTGCACGCTCTAAAAAAACAAGCCTACGTCGTCGTTTTTTCCCCCGCAACGTGCAGGCTTCGTTCGACGTGAGCACCCGCCTCAACGCGAGGGGTCGTGGCGTTCAAATCACGAGGAGGGACTGCTTCACGCAGGCGTGCCGCGCGGTGTGGCCGGGAGACGAAGCCATACCAGCGGCCATTGCGGAGGCATTGTCGTGATTCTCGAGCGCGTGTTTTAGGCTGATCATGGAGCCTGAGGGGTGGGGTGGGGGGGTGGAGAGGGTTTCGTACTTACAAGAGTTTCGAGCAGAACCTCAAGGTTTGCGCTTGGCTAGTTTGCAGGGCGTCGTGCCCCCGCATGACTTTGAGTTCGCTGGGTTTGTCATTCAATTCGCTGGGGTTATTTGGAGAAAGAGTGCTGCAAGGCACAACTCGGTGGAACAACCGATGGTGCAATGGTGTGATCTGAAAATTCCGTATGTTTCGTCGCATGTTGCAGGCGCACTCGCCGGGAGATGTGTATTGCATTTTCGCAGAGATCAGCGCCTTGGTTTCGAGATGAAGAAATGGAATAAACATGGAACAAATGATCTTGCAAGTATTCACGACTTGATCGCATGAAGGTCTCCGGAATGTCTGTCATTGGCACACGGTTGGATTCCGATGCCGTTTGCGGTCTCTGAACTACTGGTGAGCACCACCGGCACGTGGTGTGTATGACGTCGTCGCACGAAAGGACTAGACTACACCGCACGCAGTGAAAAAACTAAAGTGCCAGGAAAACGTTGTTTATCTAGATGCCGAAGACTTCTTTCGATTTTATCTGCAAACCTTGGTATCTGCAAACCTTGTACACTTCGTACTCCATTCCTTGTCTACGTGCGAACATGTCTGTCGACCAAAGCACGGGATACCGACGCCAAACCTAAGGCTCTTGCCACATAGGTT